TTTAGGTTGGAAATTAGGAAAAATTTCTTCACAGAAAAGGTGGTCAAGCCTTGGAACAGGCTGCCCAGAGAGGTGGCGGAGTCACCATCCCTGGAAGTGTTCAAAAAACGGGTAGATGTGGCACCTGGGGGTTTAGTCTAGTCAAGACTTGATTTGTTTAGTGTGGACTTGGTAATGTTAGGTTAATGGTTGGACTGGATGATCTTAAAGGTCTTTTCCAACCTAAACGATTCTATGATTCTAAGAGCTGAAATATTGCTTGCTTTTTGGGCTACTCAAATCAGGACCTATTAAAACACCTCATGCATCTGTATTGGCTTTCTTAAAGCACCAACACAGATTTAAAGCAGTTGCTAAAGTGTGTTATTGGACTAACGCATCCTGCTATGATGCTGTGGTGAAGAATGCTGCTGAATGCTGCTATAGTGAAGAAAACTTCTGCAATTGGTTTAAAAAAGAGGTTACTGCAAAGATGGTGCTTTCAATCAGTAGTATACCCTGGCATAGAGTGATATTGCTGAAGATAAGATAATTTAACTTCCCACTCACAGCTTACAAGAGAAATATACAATTTCATACTTAGTGAAAACTCATGTTTGGTCCCCAAAACCATCTTGAATGTGTTGCAAGAAGCACAGAGTGTCCATTCATTTTAAATATACATAGGAGCAGACAATAATTTATCAGAGAGATTTAATTCTCGCCTCAGAAATTTAAGAATTCTCTACCAGTGGGCGACAGGATCTCACCCAAAACATAAAGACTAAATTTTTCTTCTGAAATAGTGGCATTACAGTCCCCCCACAGGATGCATCTGGGAAGAAGGGGAGGAGTATGATTCCATGAAAGAAAAAATCAAGCCTAAATTTTGCCCCAGTTGAGTGGCAGATCTCTGCTAAAACTCTAGAAAGTCAAGTTTGGGTCGAACAGTGACACTAAAAAAAAAGTATTACTGGCTGCCTTTGGGCTACAGATCAACTTGCCAAACCTTTTAAGGATCTCTGGTGCTGAGAAAGTTCAGAATGAGTTTGTACATGAAATGTGTATTCATGAGAAAATGCAGACAGAGTAGTCCTGGAAATTGGTACGCCCACAGAGCTGACATCTCCAAAGAGAAACTGAGAGGAACTGCTGTAGAAAGGTGGGACTGAGAATTTGCTTCTGGCTTTAAATGATATCTAAGAAAGAAATGTCGCTTATTTAGCAATTTAAACAGGCATTACCCCAGGGAGAAAGTTGAGGAGGAAGGGTGATATTTTTATAGTTTTCTATTGCTTGATGTTAGACGTGGATCTAGTCTAGAGACCATGATCACCGAACAAAAGCTTCATTCTGTTGAAGAAAGTTTTGCCAGCCTTTCTTAAGTGCTTTCCAAACAGAGGAGAAATGGCAAGCATTCCCTTTCTTCACACAACAGCTTGGGAGATTTTTCACTTCTTAGACTATCAGAAGGTTTCTGTGTGGCAGCCACAGCAGTTTTCTCCGTGTAGTTATTGCTTCCAGTGCTCAACAGCTCTGACTTTGTGTCCTCCCCACTTGCAGGTGGAAGCACGCCTCCTGGCATAACTGCACCAGCTGTGCCTAGCATCCCGTCTCCAATCGGGGTGAATGGTTTCACTGGCCTCCCGCCACAGGCTAATGGGCAGCCCGCCGCAGAAGCCGTGTTTGCTAATGGCATCCACCCTTACCCAGGTAAGCCAGACCAATGCTGTGCCCACAATCTACTCCTTCAGTCCTGGGGAGATTGTCCACATCCACAGGTTTTGTCTAGCATGAGACAGCTCAGAAGGATTATACCCCACACCATCAGAGCTCACTCTAGCATTGGTGTAGTTAGGTTTTACCTAGCTACAGTTGTCGTACACTTAAATCTGGATGATAGACATCCAGGACATGTTGGAGGTGGAAAATTATTATGCTGAAGAATTGAGTGTTCATCTGCTGGATTACTTGTCTGGTGAATACAATCAGGACACCCAGCATGTTTTGCTTTAGCTAAAATTTGATCTGAGGCCTGGCCAGTTCATGCTGGCAGATCTCCTAGCGGTACTCCCAAGGGTCTTGCTCCTGGCTAGCCTTGAAGAAGCTGTGCTAAGCCTGTTTGCATCTCCTAGCACTGTTGGTGCATCTCCTGCCACAGCTGGTGTCTCCTGATGGGATTCCCTTGCAGCTGGATGGCTCTGGGAGGATGAGTTCAGAGGGTCCACAGGGCTGCTGACTCAGATTGCTCCCTGCCTCAGACCATGTGCACAGGCAACTGGTGTTGGTCTCCAAAATTCTCACTGCATCTAAATCCTGTTGCCTTATCAGGCCTGGAGACTGAAGGTCCTTTAATATAGTCACAGAACTGGCTCAACTTCACCCTTTTGTGGCACACTACCAGAGAACTGCTGCTGGGATTCAGATTGTAACTAGCTCAAAAGATGCCATGGAAGGAGTGATTTTGCAGCCCCTGGCAGTCAGGGATGAATGAGGGAGGTTAAAGAATACATACTTGCCTCTATACCTGTACTTACAAATATATGGACACTCTGTAATCACCAAGAACTCAGGAGTTTACCAGTCCTTAATGGACCTACATTTTTTCAGCATCCTCAAGATTTGAGATAGCCCTCTCCTCCAAGCAGTACTTCTGCTAGGAAGACATTCCTTACCATTGCTGTATACATACTCATAATAACAATTATAACAATAAAAATTTAAGTAAATGTTACTAACTAATCCTAGCCACCAGCTGGCAAAGGAGTATTTTACCCTGGGGCACTCATAGATCGATCTAACCTGTTAGGAAATCAAACACGAGTCAGATGCTCCAGCCAAAAAGCCCACAAAACCCCTAAGAAAAAAAAATTCTTTCGATCTCAGCCAGTCCTAAAAACTCAGAAGATTCAACACCACAGGGGACTTTATGAGCTACAAGGAAAAACATCACATAATGTAGAAGTACAAAAGTCTTACCTAGTTACAGTTCAGATAATGTCACTGAAAAAAGCCATCCTGTGAATGCAGCAATGGAAAGCCCAGAAATACCAAGAGTTGAAAAATAATTATCATCCCATACACACACACTTTATAGACATTTAGCCATGAGTTCAACTTTAAGCAGAATTGAAATCAAGGGGCTTACTGTGCTATAAGTTAGGTATGTATACAAGTTTGTAACAGCTTAGAGGGATGGGGAGCTCTTGGAGGTTTACAGAATCATCAGAAGATTGCAGGGAGCCCTTAGTATGCTCAGTGAGCTCAGCCACAGCACCAAGCAAGCACCCTGTCTTTAAGGTTATATAAATATAGCCATCTGTTCAACTACCCAGCTATCTAAGTATCTACCTGTTTACAAATCCATCATCTCTCTGTTTATTCATCCATTTCTATATCTATTTTTTTTTCCAGTTTATCTAGCTCCTTATAGCTAGTCTTCCATGATCCATTACTGCAGATACCAGAGAAAAGATGATCTTTCTAGATCAATCCTAATGACTTGAGCTTTTGTTACTATCTCCAACTACCCCCATAATTAAAGAAAGCTTTCAGTTAGGTATTTCATCCATGATTATATAAAAGTCAATGGCCTTAATCTGATTCTCTCTGAGTTTTGGAGAGACTTGCTCAGCCAGCAATTCACAGTAAATCCGTGCACAAACACCAACAGCCTAACACACTGAAAGGCGACAGTCATCCTTGCTCCACTTGGCTACAGGCAGAGAGGCTCCTTTCTGCCGATAAAGCTGACATCCAAATAGTCTGCTTTATGTAAAGTTTGGATTTATCTCCACGTGTCTTCAGCAACATATTGGTCTTTCTCAGTGCTCAGCTTCCCTATAACTTAGTGACATCTTAAGTTATAGCAGAGGTGTAAAGGGAACATTGACAGGCCAGACCCTCACCTCTCATTTTACTTCTGCCTGTCCCACTAGCAATGAAACCCTGAGAGCAAGCCCCTTTGTAGCAGTTTGGGTGTAGGACACATCATGTGTTTGCTCCATCTTATTCTCTTCCTTTTCATGAGCATTAATGCACTCTCCAAAACTTTACTCCTTGCCACGGGCTTTATTGAGGCCTGGAACTTAGCAGCATTAAAAAAAAAAGGTTAGACATTTATATGGGTAATGAGAACATGCACAGCCATATTAGACTGGATAAAAATGTAGAAAGGACACAAACCTTCATGCTTTATGATCTAAGCCAGCCACTAATTGCTTGGGGTTAGAAAGAAATTTTCATCATTGGGCAGCTTATTCCATCGCTGTTCATTATGGGATTTTTCACACTTTCCTCCATTGCATTTGTTAATGGCACTTCCTTGTGTTTCTGCATGTCTGTTTTTCTAAATGCAAGGGTAGAAATAAAATCTTAAAGCTGAGCATGCAGTTGCACTAACATTATAGAGAAGAAAAGAATACGCCAGTCTCCATCCAAAGTCAGCATTTTCCAAACAACTTTCTTTTATGGTATAGCTCTCATTCTGAAAGTGGCTGAGAGTGCTGCAGTATTATGTGCATAACCATAGTCTTGCTATGATTATGACTTGCCGTATATTGTTTAAAGCCTGAATTTTGATCTCAGATACTCTTTCATACTTCACAAAAAACTCAAATGTGGGTTCACACCATTATAACTTGTAGCAGAATGTTCTTTGTTGCCTGAAAATAGCAAAACAGGACAATCAAAATGTGTAGAGGCATGACATCCACATCATTCAGACCCAGATAAATCCCATTAATTGTGCAGTTAGTCTACATGTCCACTTTTGTGTCTAGCTATAATATTTTTCATGCTGCATCTAAAGGACTCCAGAACTCCACAGTCTTTGCACTATGAAAACAGGTCCGTATCATGTAATTGTATTTACTCTGTAGTTTCACCCTTTTTTCCTCTGTCTTCCCCTGTACTCTTTTTTTAAGATTCCCTCTGCCTGGAGCATGGACACACACGGTATCATTTCAGTAAGACTACTGAACCATCCATGGCTTTGGGGCAAAGGCAAGAGTAGGTCAAACATCCTCATTCACCAGGTCTCTGATCACAGCCCCAGTCCCTAAAGAAATTAGCTTTTTCTGTGGCTCTGGCCAGGCTATGGATCCATGCAGTAGTACTAGAAAACCATACCTTGCAGGCATGCTCTTTGTAAGCCATGCTCTCACACCTTCTCCAAGCTCAGCCAATGCATAATGCCTCACAGTGCTCTTTTTGGCATGTACAGAATAACAAGGGAGTAAATATTTCCCCTTCCACTAGTCTGAGCCCCTTTGGAGATCTGACCTTTTTGTGTATTAATGCCTGCCCTTTAGTCTTTCAGCTTGCAGAGCTATTGAACATGGCAACGTGTCACAACATATAGTGGGGACAAAGAGCATAATCTGTTGTGCTATGATCTTGTGAGTCATTTTGCAGCAGCACAAGAGCTTTACCATTTCCACATTAGCTGTAATAATAGTGACTGCTCTCTTCTGCCAAAGCTTCTTAGCCACCCAGAGCCCAGCGACTCTCTTGTAACAGTGTGTGATGTACATTAGCAGTGGAGACCATCTGCGCTGGTTTCTGCTGTCTCACACCATCAGCACTCTGCCTTCCAGTAACAGGTCCTGCCTTATTGGATTGCATCATGAGGGACTGGACAAAATGCTCACTCCAAAACCCCAGCCTCCTTGGGAAGAGAAGGGGAGGGAGACATGAGAAAATGGGGAGAGCAAAGGGCAGCAAAAAACAGAGTGAAGGGTTTGGCTGTCAAAGGATCAGTGAAATGAGGGAACTGGAAGGAGGCACAGAGCAGAGCCCCCAGAAAATAGTGAGGACTGCTCTGTGGTTTTCTACCCAGTGATGTGCCCAGGAAGAAGCAGAAATAGCACCCCATAGCACCCCACAGTGTCCAACAGCTCCCAAACAAACTTTTTCCTCCTGGGCAACAGTATGTCCAACTTGCCCACAGCCAAGGATGGAGCCAGTGGTATGGCAGCTTTGTGGAGCCTCAGACAGGGAATGCTGAGTTCTTCAGTACATTTGGTCTGGGCTTAGGTTGCTGAGGAAAACAAAAGCAAAGTTCCCCCGGTTGCTTATAATACATTAAAAATGGGTAATCTCATTAACTGTTCTCAGGCACACAAGTGGTTCTGTTTATGACTGCCCACCACTGCCAGGGCTAGCTGTCTCTCTCCTCTCTGCAGACACAGCAGAGGTCGTCACTCAACTTCCCTTTGGTTACACTGTGGGTATATCTGGGCTAGCAAAACAGGAAGCTCCACTTCATACCCTATTTGGGGTCCAGACCTCTCTGGTGAGGGCTAGTTGTCAGTACAAACGGGCAGCCAAGCCTTTATGCCCACAAGTTTCCAAGCCACCACTGAGATTGGCAGTAAAGGTGTCCCCCAAGGGTGAATTCTTGTGCTGTAGAAACTCCTGTCTTAGGAATGGAACCGAGACCGTAATTCATTTTCCTTGGCTCAACAAAGAGCTACCAGGCAGTAACAAATTTACCCATTGCCAGCAGAGACAGGATTCAAACTCCATCTGTAATTATTATCATTACCCAAGCTAATTTTGTAAGGGAGGAGTTGCCGGCATGCTAATATGACAGCCTTATCTATTAGCTTGTCTGTTAGCTAACAGTGCCGATGACGGGCGGGCTGTTGCTCTGGACCCATTGTCCAGGATTAGTCCTGATCACAACAGACACCATCCAGTGGCATTGGGCA